TAATCTTCCATGGGTAACATGTAAATCATTACAATAATTCCAATATTATGTACTAAGCTATTTAGATTATAACTTAAATAAAACAAACCTGAATTTGGAAAGCCTGATAAATAGATTAAGGGTGGTTAATGCTCTTGGAATTACTCAGTGATAAATTAAGGTTTGATTGTTTTTGTGGCCATGGGAAAAAAAAAGGTTGATGAAGATAGAAATAATGAAAACAAAACTTGTAATCTGAACCATTAAAATTTATAGTACAAAATTAAATCCAATGGATAAAAAGAGAGACATATATAAGTCTTGTTAAATGGACAGTTTTAATCTAAACTACTGATAAGGGAGAGAAATGTGTGACTCTGGTTTATTCCCGCTAATACACAATTTTGCTTGATTTTTTTAGTTAACGATATAGTGAAGGAAGAAGAGAAAAGTAACTAGTTTTTAGGAAAAGAAGTAAGCTGTTAGAAAAAAGTGTCTAAGTAGTCTAATGTGTCCTATAATGTTAATAGAAACTTAATAACTGCCCCTGAATGTAATATTTTCATTACAATATTGTTTATGACTATTTAGTCACTTACCGATCCTGGTGAATTTTGCATAATTATGTTAAAATAAATAAAAAGAGAGTATCACAATCAGACACATTTGTGAAGCGACAATAAAGGCTTTTTTTGACCATCCTCCAACTCATTGTTTTGTGACGGTTCCATGTTCAATGCCTTGCTAAAAGAAAATATCTTCCGACAAACTTCACTTAAAGTTGTTATATAGATGAACGTTTGTAAACAAAAATGCACAAGTGCAAGTTGTTTTAATGCACTTTGTATGCGTATCAATCTTGCTAGTAATGTAGGGTTATACATGACGCATTAAACCTTTTTTTTTTGAACATTCAAAGATCCTATATTTATCAAGAACCACTTGGGCAAAGCAGCAACGAATATGATCTTAAATAATGATGAATTGATTTATTCCTTCAGATTCAATATTTTTGTAACATCCCGAGTTGTGATATATGGAAAGGCTTAAGAGGATTGATTTGGCTACCTATATCATCAAAGTGCACTTACCTTTTCGGGAGCACATCCAGAGAGAACTCCGGAGTTAAGCGTGCTTGAACTGGAGTAGTCAAAGGATGGGTGACCTATCGGGAAGTGATTTGCGATACCGTGTAAGTGAGACCAAAGCACGGGGAAAGATCGAGTGGTGATTGCAGGGTCAGTAAACATGACTCTAGAGCCTTGGAAAATTAACAGACCGGCCGTTGAAACGGGATGGGGCCCACGGGCCGAGTGAGCAGGCGTGGGTGGCCCATTAGCCGTGGGCGGTCGGGGCGTTACAAGTGGTATCAGAGCTGGTTAGCCATCTCAATTCTGATCTGAGAGGCGTCTTGAGACCTGTCGGGGAGCGCAACAAGGACGTTGCGTTCTTTGAGAGGGGGTGAATTGTAATATCCCGAGTTGTGATATATGGAAAGGCTTAAGAGGATTGATTTGGCTACCTATGTCATCAAAGTGCACTTACCTTTTCGGGAGCACATCCAGAGAGAATTCCAGAGTTAAGCGTGCTTGAGCTGAAGTAGTCAAAGGATGGGTGACCTATCGGGAAGTGATTTGCGATACCGTGTAAGTGAGACCAAAGCACGGGGAAAGGTCGAGTGGTGATTGCAGGGTCAGTAAACATGACTCTAGAGCCTTGGAAAATTAACGGACCGACCGTTGGAACGGGATGGGGCCCACGGGCCGAGAGAGCGGGCGTGGGTGGCCCATTAACCATGGGCGGTCGGGGCGTTACAATTCCATGGAATCCAGATTCAAGATATAGAGTTTACAGGTAAATTTAAGAGTCTAAAAGATTTAGAAGATGTCGAGATATATGAAATCTTTCACTGTAATAGTTTACTAGATTTTGACCCGCGCTTAAAAGCGCGGAAATTTTTTATGATTAAAAATTTATATAATTGGGTTTTGTCTTAATTTAAAGAATATTTTGATATAAAATAAGTTCACCAAAATTTGTGCTGATGATTGTTTTCATTAGTTTTTAGTTTTACTTTTTATTTTTAGATTTTGGTTTTTGGTTTTTAATTTTTAAGTTTCTACTTTTCATTTTCAATTTTTGGTTTGAGTATTTAATTTTTAAACCCGCTAAGTTAGTTTGAACTGATATTACCAACAAACAAATCTCAAATAATCGAACATCTAATTTAAAATTGAAAAGATGAAAACATAAAAAAATTTGAAATAGTTTATTTTGTAAATAAACAAAGCAAAAAAAAAATATAATATGTGTTTTCATCTTTTGATTTTGGATTTTAGTTTTTAGATTTGGTTTTTGGTTTTGCTTTACATTTTTAATCAGTAAATTATTTAACAAAAATAAAACAATAAATTATTTAAAAGTTACAATTGAAATTTATCAAAATAAAGTGATTGTTATTTAAAATAAAAAATATATTAACATGTTTTAAAGTACATGATTTAAATAAATGATTAATAATATATAATTTTGTTTTGTTAAAAATATTAAATACCTTTTGGGTCTGAAAATAATAATTGATTTTTTGATCTTTTAAGGTGAAAAGTTTATTCAATGTTTTTTGGAGTTTTTTCTTAATACTAAGCCCAAAAACCAAACTATATAATTTGGTCAAAAAATAAAAGAAAACCCAAGACTATATTCCATAAATAACCACTGGTTTAATTTAAGTATAATTAGTAGATTTCCATATTCCATATTTTGATGATATATATTCTTTTAGAATATTCCATATTTGTAGGAGAAAATATGTGTTTTCGGTATACACATAGATATCTGTTGTATTTTGAAGATAATTTCCATTAATGTTGTCTTTTTACATTAATTGTGTTGGTTTAATTTAAGTAAATACGGTTCAATCAATTATATGACTTATATTATTTGTAACATTCTAGAAAGGGTCCAAATTTAAATGACAACTTGTATCAGTAGATAAAAAAAATGACTCTATTTTAATATAATAGATTGTTATGCACAACCAAAGATAATAGATTATGGCAGTGTTGGTAAATTTAAAATTAATAAATTATGTATCAAAATTATAAAATAATACTTATTTTGAAATAATTTTTTTTTAAAACAACTGACATATAAATTGAAACGAAGAGAGTATTGTTTATGACTGCTTGTTTAGTCAATTACCGATCCTGGTAATGTTCATGCACATACAAAGATGAAGTCATATCTCCACGTTTGCAAACAACTTCATATAATGATATAATCATATCATACATATAGTTCTACAAACAAAATGACTGTCGGCTAGCTGCTGATGCAATCAAATGTTTGGATAGTATTTTAGTTGATTTTAAGGCACGAGGTCCCAGCTTTCAGTGATACAGATACAAATACAAGTCACTACAAATCCAATTTAAAGAAGAAAACGAGTACCCACTTCTTCTGGTGTCTCAGTTTTGGATACGTGTTAAGTGCTTCTTGCACGTCATACATCTGTTACCAAACGATTGATTTTCAGTTTGTGAAGCGACTTCCTTTAATCATTCTCCATTTAAAGAGCTAAACAGTCTTTATATATGTGAATCTTTTTATACACGCAACACATAACCATTGTTATGTATTTATATGGTTAACGTATATTATCGAACGCAAATATTCTGTCTTCATAAGAACTTAAAAGTAGACAAGAAAGCTAGCTTTCACGTTTGTCCACCATCGACTAACGTACGATGCAGAATCCGTACTGGCGTTATGAGCCTTCGTAAATTCATAACATATTCGTTGGTCATACGAAGTCATCACAAAGATTAACTTTACTTTCTTTATGTACTTAATTGGTTTCAGTTTAATTAAAAATTCTTTTTTACTGTGTCTTTCTATGTGAGAGATTTTACAGGCATGGGGACTGCAAAACAATCTTTGTAAGAAGCTTTAAGAAGATTAGAGTGAATCCCTTTTTTGTATGCATTTTCCTTTTTCTCGGAAGCTTTTTGCTTTGACTATTAAATATACCCTCTATTTATATCCGAATTGTGAATTATTAAAAAGTCAAAACCCTAATCTCTTCTCTCTTTTCTTGGTTGTTTAGTTAAATCTAAAGCCCTAGTTTCTCCTTGCTCTCCTCTCGATTTCTTCCTTTCTCTTCGCTATCTTCTCTTTTTCTTTATTCCTTAGGAGATCAGGTCAGGACAACAATGGTAACTCCTTATCTCCCATTGGAACTGGAAGCAGAAATACTTTCTAGGGTTCCTCCCACATCTGTAAAACAGGTACAATTAACTTGCAAAAGATGGTACACTTTATTCAAGGATCCTATATTCATCAAGAACCACTTGGAGAAAGCAGCAACGCAGATGATCTTAAAGAATGATGACTCTGTTTGCTCATTCAGCTTCAGTTTCCATGAAAAATTCTACAATCAAGTTATTAAGTTTACAGGTAGACTTAAGAGTCTAAACGATTTAGAAGATGTCAAGGTATCTAACATCTTTCACTGTAAAGGTTTATTTCTATGCACGACAGAAGACAATAGACTTGTTGTTTGGAACCCTTGTACTGGTCAAACCAGGTGGACGTGGATCTGGAAACCATCTAGCAACAGTTACTCAAGGTATTATTTAGGATACGAAAACAACAACAAGTCGTGTGATAACTACAAAATCTTGAGCTGTAGCTATAACTCTCGCGGCCATAGCGAAGTCGGTGAATATGGAATATATGAGTTTAACCTTGATTCTTGGAGGGCTCTTGAAGTAATTAGTGATGATTGGTTAAATCTTTGGCACGACGGTGCAATGTCTTTAAAGGGAAATACTTACTGGCTAGATTCAGATAGTAGTGAAAACTCTAGTCTATTCAGATTTGATTTCACAACGGAGAAACTGGAACGTTTACCTCTTCCTTTTAATGATGATGAGCATAAGGAGGTTGTAGTTATATCAACTGTCAGAGAAGAGAAACTTGCGTTGTTATGCCAGTACGCAGATAGTACAGTTTCATTGAAGATGAAGATATGGTTGACTGATACGAAGACTGATGAGGCCAAAGACTTGTCGTGGAGCGTATTCTTAGTATGTAAACTTGGAATATATGATATGAGATGGATGGAGAGTTTCTTGGTGGACGAGGAGAATAAAAAAATCTTGTGTTGTTATTTAGACGTTGAAGATAGGACCAGAATTTACATTGTTGGAGAGGATACATATAAAAATGTCTATATAGAGGTTTCAAAGGGGTCACGATCACGTGTTACTCCACGTCTCTTAAGTTATGTTCCGAGTTTGGTTCAAATTCCACAAGTCAGGGTAATCCTTGCTGCAAAAGAAAAAGGGGATTAGCTTATTAAGTCAATAATCAAATTGTTATTTTTTTGTATTTACTTAATAAACAGAGTAGCTGGCTTTTCTTTGTTTTTCTTGAACTCTTTTTACCTTTGGAAGACGAATTTGTTGATCTTACTCAATTAGGCTATTCTTTATGACTAGCCTGGTGAATTTTGCAGTTATGTGTAAGTACCAGAAATGACGAGAAGGAAGCTAAATAAGAAGCCTTGCATAATTATGTGGAAGTTCCAGTTCGTTTTTAATAGTGATGGTCAAACACCAAGTTATTGTTTATATGTTGGCCTTTGAAGTACAATGTGCCTTAACACTTCAAGTTTTCGGGTACAGTAAGAATCAGAAGAAACATATATTACATACATAACAAAATTTAGTGATATAAAACTTTATTTCGTAATAAAACGTGAACATATAAATATATAATTCAATGGTCTAAGCTCTTTATATTATATACTCTATTAAAACATAGTCATTCTTTTAATCTATTGACACAAGTTGTCATTTAAATTTGGACTTTTTCTAGAGTGTTACAAATAATATAAGTCATATAGTTAATTGAACCACATTACTTAAATTAAACCGATGGTTATTTATGGGATATAGTCTTAGGCTTACTTTTGTTTTTAGAACAAATTATATGGTTTTGTCATTTTCACCTTAATGGATAAAAAATCAGTTATTATTTTCAAGCCCAAAATGTATTTAATATTTTTAAACAAAACAAAATTGTCTATTATTAATCATTTATTTAAATCATGTACTTTAAAACATGTTAATGTATTTTTTATTTTAAATAACAATCATTTTGTTTTGATAAATTTCAATAGTAACTTTTAAATAATTTCTTGTTTTATTTCTCTTATATAATTTACTGATTTAAAAAAAATGTAAAGCAAAACCAAAAACCAAATCTAAAAACTAAAATCTAAAACCAAAAACTGAAAACAGGTTATTTTTTTTACTTTTATTTATTTACAAAATAAACTATTGCAAATTTCTTTAAAACTTTTTTGCCATATTTTCAATTTTAAATTAGATGTTCGATTATTTTGGATTTGTTTGTTTGTAATATCAGTTCAAACTAACTCAGCGGGTCTAAAAATTAAAAATCCAAACCAAAAGCTGAAAATCAAAAATAGAAAAAAAATAAAAAACAAAATCTAAAACAAAATCTAAAAATAAAAACTGAAACTAAAACTAATGAATAACAATCATCACCACAAATTTTGGTGAATTGATTTTATCCCAAAACATTATTTAAATTAGGATAAAACCCAATTACATAAATTTTTAATCATGAAAAATTTCCGCGCTTGAAAAGCGCGGATCAAAATCTAGTCCTAAAATTTTTGGAAACAGTAAACAAGTACATGTTATAAACGTAAATGGATATTTTAAAAAGATATAAAAAAAAAAACAACTCCACACGGTCAAATTATAACGATTCGTCAATGCGTAGGGTGTTTCTGTTCTTTGCATTACAATTCAAAGCTTTTGTATTTTTCTTTAAATAAAAACATTTTTATTTATCGTTTTTCTTCTTTATATTATCATCACGAATTTTAAAATGGGATAACGAAACATAATATTAAAAGAAATAAACCACATCTATAAGTTATAACCAATTATTAATCTCCAAAACGTTATAATTTACCATCTGATTAAAGTATCAAATGTCTCGTCTCGAGGGTGCCTCCAAATGTGATAGAACCACGAACCAAATCATGTTGTGCAATATTTTTGTATTTCGAATAGTTCAAAAATATATTTATATATTAATTTCTGTCTTGGTATTATAATATCAATTATAAGTTGAGAGAAAGAGACAAAATAATTATGCACCGATGAGCAAAGTCTGTTAGCTGTCATGTAGGATGCTGCTATAAACAAATTAAAAGGAGGAGAGTCAGAATTTTAATAATTCCGTAAAAGTAAGAAAAATAATAACTAAAATGATCAATACAATTAAAAATCATTCTTTTTAATGAATGATTTATGTTTTTCAAAATTACCTTTAATCTTATAAATAAATTTACTTTCTTATTAATGGTATTTTACTCTTTTTTATTTGGAGGTAAAAACTATATACTAATGAGTTTTATTAATGGACTGATACTCTTCCAAATTTTATAAAAAAAATCTTGTAAAAATATATTTTCTTAGCGAGTAAGGTGGATCAATTCTTTCAGTAAAAAAAATGACTCAATCTGCTACGAAGCGGGTTGGACGTAACGGGTCGGACTTAGCGATTGAAATTTCGTAACTAAATGATTTTACACCCATTCATAATTTATTTAAAAACTTAAAAAAATGTCTTAGATATTATAAGATAAAAAAATTTTATATCCGAATAATAATTTGATCTTGACTCTGTGACATTTTATATCATTAAAGCAAAAAATTTATCGATCTATCTCTAAATAAAACAACAAAAATAATATTCGGGTTTTTCAAGCGATGATCAAAAATCTAATTAGCTTTGTTGCTTAATATTCCATTAAAGGCAAAAAATTTCTCATGTTTCGGCCTAAACCATAACCCTAAACCCTAAACCCTAGGGTTCCAAACCCTAAACCCTAACCCTAGGGTTTCAAACCCTAAATTTTTTGCCTTTAATGGAATATTAAGGCAAAAAAATTCCATTTTTTGCCTTTAATGGAATATTAGGGTTCCAAACCCTAAAACCCTAAACCCAAACCCTAGGGTTCCAAACGGTAAACCCAAACCCTAGGGTTCCAAACCCTAAAACCCTAACCCTAGGGTTCCAAACCCTAAAATCCTAACCCTAGGGTTCCAAACCCTAAAACCCTAACCCTAGGGTTCCAAACCCTAAAACCCTAACCCTAGGATTCCAAACCCTAAAACCCTAACCCTAAGGTTCCAAACCCTAAAACCCTAACCCTAGGGTTCCAAACCCTAAACCCTAAACCTTAGGGTTCCAAACCCTAAAACCCTAACCCTAGGGTTCCAAACCCTAAAACCCTAAACCCAAACCCTAGGGTTCCAAACGGTAAACCCAAACCCTAGGGTTCCAAACCCTAAAACCCTAACCCTAGGG